CACCTACAGACACTTAAAGACAGTCACAGACAGCCAAATTACAGAATAGGCGTGGGATAGTTCCCATTATACTGTAATAAACTCATCTAACGTGTGGACCATAAGAATTACACTACTTTGTTTTCGCTATAACTCAGTCAGTTTTGACGCTATCGGCCAAATTTATTTTTAAAAAACTTCGGCATTCAATACTCTACAAAATCATACATAAACTATACTTTCAGAACTTCGATCAAGAAAACTAAGCCAATTAGATGAAAGTCGAAATAATTTTTTGGTGAAAAATTTGGCCGATAGCGTCAAAACTGACTGAGTTATAGCGAAAACAAAGTAGTGTAATTCTTTATAGCCCGCCCGTTAGTTCAGTTCCTACGGACAATACTATCATATCTTCTATACAAACAATACACTTATAGAAAATCATTATTCTACAGCCTTTAATGTGAATGTTCCTATACTGTGGGAAGCGCCTTTTACTGTTAAAAGATATTATAGAGCAATAAACACCGGCTTAGAGATGCAAAATTATGTTGACTTGAAGGAATAGTAACTGGTGACCAGTTCTTTTAATCGGTTACTACAAACAATGGGAATTGGAACTGTCCCAGTTCTATTACAGACATCCAAAAAAATGAATATGTACAGATATTCACTAAATTACACAGACAGCCAAATCAATCTGAAGGTATCCATAGATAGACATTCAGCTGTCTTCGAATTGCTGGAAAACCATTCTCTCGAGCAATTCGAGTTACTCATGCGGTCGACAATTTCTGAGCTGACAGTCATGTAGAGCATCAAAACTTGACTATATTCTTGAATTTTCAGGGTACCCGCATGAGTTTTGGATGAGTTCTGAAAACAATAAACTTCTGATACAGCTTCAACAGTGGTCAGAAAAAGTTCAAAAGTAAAAACAAAAGAGCATTCTAGGCAGGTGAGCATTTTAGAGTATAGGTAATCTTTGATGCTCTACACGACTGTCAACTCAGAAATTGTCGACCGCACGAAAAACTCGGACAAATAGAAAAAGAGAGTCTGTTCAGATAGGAATTATTAATGACGAAAATTCGCCAATGACGCTTTTTAATTTAATTTATTTTCACCTATACATATCAGTTTCTCTATCGACATATTCTCATGCCAATAACAACTATGAATATCTTAGGTTTTGGAAAGTGTTCGCATCTTGCAAGCGGATCGATTTTCAAATTATTGTGGATACAGACTCATGTGCTCATTGTATATGCAATAAGAATCTCAGTCATTTATTTGATTGCTTCTAAAATCATAATTTGTATTTATAAATGTTACAGTTTCGTTTACGCATTTCTGACTTTTTTTAGTCTTTGAACTTTTAGCGCTAAGTTCGATAATAAGCTATATTAAAGAGCTTGTTACATCTTATTTTCAACTTTATGATATTTAAAAGAGGGTTCTGCATGCTACTAGATGAAAACCAACCTGTTTCTAAAATTCATGTATAAAAGCGAGAAAGAAAAGAAGAAATGTGATTTTAAAAGTGAAAGAACAAAGATAAAGGAGATGAAAAAAAGAAGGTCATTATTTGTAGATTTTATTTTTACTTTATCCTAAAAAAAGTAAAAATAACAAATACAAGACAAGTAGTTTCCTTCTTTTTTTCATCTCCTTTATCTTTGTTCTTTCACTTTTAAAATCACATTTCTTCTTTTCTTTCTCGCTTTTATACAGGAATTTTAGAAACAGTTTGATTTTCATCTAATAGCATGCAGAATCCTCTTTTAAATATCATAAAGTTGAAAATAAGATGCTCTTTAATTTAGCTTATTACCGAACTTAACGCTAAAAGTTCTAAAAAAGGTCAGAAATGGGTAAACGAAACTGTAACATTTATAAATACAAATTATGATTTTAGAAACAATCAAATAAATGACTAAGATTCTTATCGCATATGCAAGGAGTACATAAGTCTGTATATGTTCTTCGTTAATAATTCCTGTCTGAACACAGTGTATTTTTTATAAGTGATGATCGTTAGCAAATGTTTCCTTTTGTTTTTCTGATTATCCAAAAACAAACATCGTCCTAAAATTTAGATGATCGATTATATTTCATTGATGGTACCATAAACCATCGGATACGAGTAACGAGACTCAATGTACTCCCGAAAATGAAGTACTTACCGGACACTCATTGGAAACTATCTGCATATGAGAAAAAAATCAAATAATTCGCGTCTGAAACAACGTGGATAAATAAACTAAAAACTGTTTTGTGGATAGGCTTGATTTTCTTTACCACAAAACATGTCAGAATGTCTGGAACATATTTCACCACTTAATTTTACGGAATTTCGCTATGAGAAAAATGTTTAAATGAAAGTGATGTTGATGAAGATATTCAAATGCAGAGATGTTAGTCTGTTGTGGATGATACCTTATGATTTTTAAAAGAAGGTGTCTTATGTTCTCTTGATGGAAAGTGGTGAGAGAATTATTCACCCTTCGTATAATCAGTTTCTATGTCCAATATGATTTTGCTATCAAAAGACCAAAGAGAAACCTTTGTTCTGCTGTTCTCTGAAAATCCTATTGAATATATGATTAGAACTAGGCTAATTTTTCAACAAAGGAAGTTATAGAACAACTGAGGCTGATTAGGGTATATAGTTTCCAAACGGTTTGCGTCTAGTTTTAATGAATTTTGATTCGATAATGGATGAAAATTGCTTTTAGTTGAACTTGGTTTCTACTAAGTATTTAGATATCCTGAGTTAAACTCTGTATCGTTCTCAACTTATTCAGAAAACAGTGTAAGATTTTGTGACAGACTTGTTTCTTTCTAACTGCTAAAACTTGCGCATAGATTTGCTCGAGTAAAGGTAGGTAAGAAGCATTCGATCAAGGTTTTTTTTTCTCTAACGTTAACTTACTGTACGAAATTATCGTAAAATTTACTGGTGACCGTGCATGAATTCCAGAATGAATCTGAAACTCTTTGTAGCTATTACAAATGCTCAATGCGTGTTAGCTCGCTCTATCAGACCATGTGAAGTTCAAACAGTCGGTTGGAAGGAAACAGCATATATCAATCGATGGAGAATTGAATGAGGATTTCAGATATGCTACCCCTTTTTCTGGATAACTCTTAGTTTTTGAGAAAGAAACGGAAAACTGTTTTTGCGTGGAAACTAGCGCTTTTTATTATAGTCTCCCAGTTTATCTCCGTTCTGAATATGTTCTTTTTTTCTTTGATTTCTCTTATTTTCATGTGTTATCAGAATGAACAAACGTAAAATTTGGACATAAGCTCCCTATGAATGCCGTTGACCGATGGGCAATCACGAAACCTTTGATGATCATTTAAAACTGGTGAAATTTTCTAATGGAACTGGAACTATAGATTTCGACAATTTTAAGCAGCCGATTTTGACGATTTAATATTTTAAAAACTAAGAAGGATCTTTTTCTGAAAAATAGATCAATACATAGTACAACGCGTACACTTCAAGATAGCATAAAAAGTGGAAATGGGTACTGTTTAACTATTTTAATTTTGATTCTCGATGTTAGCAGAACGTGGGCTAAATTAATATTGAGTTACAGTATTACTGTTACTAGTAATAGTAATATAAGAAAATAGTTTTTTTCAAAAGAATATTCAGAAGACTTCCTAACGTGTTCTTGGATGAATATTTCAGTCAGAAAACTCTGAAAAACCAGACGAACATTGTCCCTTTTTTCCTGCTGAAATTTCTACTATCTTTTCAAGTTATAAGGCCTGTGCCTGTTTGTCAATTCAATTCAAAAATGAAAAGAGCTAGAGAATTCGAGTTTTCATCATTCAGAAGAAAAGACGTTGAGCCATCCTTTTAAAAGCCTTCGAGAGATTTCGGCTGAACTTTCACTCAATATTAGTTTGTATGCGTAGTGGTATGTACCTCTTAAGAACCGTTTTTTGATGGTTAGAAAGTAGAAATAGATCTAAAGCGATCGGACACCTGGACAGATTCCTTCGTTAGAGATCTTCTTCCTGAAAGGAAAGGTGTGCCATGGGGTTCAATTGTCTCGGTCTTGTAATTGTCGAAACGTACATTAGTTTGAAAAGCTTTGGGAGGCTCTTGAGTGTATTCTTCAAAACGTTGAAAGAAATTCATTCAACAGACAGAGTTGACAGAGACTGCTTACAGGGTATCCGTCAACAAAAACTAATGCCAAATGCAGAACTAGATCAATCTTTATCGATTCTTCGATCTTCCCTAGTAGATAGCCTAGATTCGAGGATATGTTTTATAATAGAAAGACTATTGAATTGGAAAAACAATCAGAAAAAGTACATAATGTGATTGCATAAAATAATTTTATAACATCAAATGATGCTGGTTAAATGCACAATTCAATCAAGTCAAGTATAATACAAAAAAGAATAGATACATATATGTTCTTTTTCCTATGTGACAACGATATTTCGACATTCTTTTTCAGTCAGATTAAACAATACTGCACTCAATTTTCTTTCCAATTCTGTCACTAGTGAATAAATTCACCGATGCGAATTTTGACGGCTTCCCTAACATATGAAATAAATTAAATTGTCCTCAGATTCCGCATGAGTAATCTCAATAATTCATTGTCAAAGAAGAAATGCGTCGTTAATACATGCAGCACTATATGTATGAGGTTTTCTTCTATATCGTTCTATATCCTCTTATAGACAAGTCATGGTTGATAGCTAGTCGTCTTTTGATCTAAATAAAAGTATTAGTTGAAGGTAGTCTATCGTTTTAGAGTAGACGATAATTCTTGTTGATTGTGCTAACAGCAATGGATTGTATGATGATTTGGATATTGGTAATAATTTTCAAGTTAACATTCGTGCATCCCATAAGCTACGTAAAAGATTCGTATCTGGTCGAATTCAAGTCACCTGGTATTCATTCAAGGTTTTTAAATAGTTTGTCCGAAAGGAAACATATTGTAACTATTCGTCAAAAGTACAGTGGTTCCATATTTCATGGAATGGCTCTGCAAGTTCACAATCCAGCATCTCTTCAACATATAAAAAATCATTTCGATATAGCAAGTATGTGGCCTATTCGACTCATAAGTCAAACAGATGTTAAAAGAAAGAAAAATGCAGTTACATATGACTCTTATTCAAGTTTTTTTCATAACATCACACAAGTTGATCAGGTGCATAGGTTGGGCTACAATGGTTCAGGTATCAAAATTGGAATTATCGATACTGGAGTCGATTATACTCACCCAGCACTTGGTAAATGTTTTGGCAAAGGATGTAAGATTGCGTATGGCTACGATTTAGTTGGTGATGATTACACAGGAAAAAACACACCGATACCCGATTCTGATCCATATGACAACTGTAGTAATTCATCAGTTACTGGGCATGGTACGCACGTAGCAGGAATTATAGGAGCACTGGCAGCAAATATCACAGGTGTTGCATATGGCAGCACATTAGGTATGTGGAGAGTATTTGGTTGTTTTGGTATATCAGCAGATGATGTTGTAATAGAAGCCCTTATTCAAGCTTACGAAGCTGGTATGGATATTATTAATTTATCTCTGGGCGAACTGGCACCGTGGCAAGAAGATCCCGTAGCTATTATAGCGAGTAGAATTGCTCAAACAGGAGTACTTATCGTGGCAGCAAACGGAAATATAGGTCTTCAAGGCATATCATCAGGAGATAATCTAGCTAGTGGAAATAATGTTGTTGCTGTTGCATCGTTTGACAATGCATATTCCGTTAAACGTGGTTTTATTCTAAATAACATAACTTATGGTTATATTAGTGCAAATCCACAATTAAAGTTTCCCATTACTAAAATTGCACCAACAGCTAACTCCACACACTTTCTAGCTGATGCTTGCAATGGTACCAAAATTAAAAGAAGTAAAATAAAAGGACTAATTGCATTAGTTCGTCGAGGAGAGTGTACTTTCTTTGAAAAAGCATTAAATGTTCAAAAGATGGGAGCTATTGGTATTTTGATTTATGTCCGTGCAAATGAAACAGAACCCGAGCCTATTCCACTTTCTGATGATATAAAAATACCTTGCGCCATGATCAGCAATAGTGCGGGTGTTGCCATATTAAATTCTAAACATCCAAAAGGTTATTTTCGTGATGATATATTTATATATACGCCAATTTCTACTAGTGGAACAGTTACTGATTTTAGCTCTCTCGGACCATTGAATGAACTACAACTAAAGCCAGATATAGGTGGAATCGGTGGTTCCGTTTATTCGACTCTTCCACATTATTTAGGTTTATACGGAACGCTTTCTGGAACTTCAATGGCCACACCCTATATCAGTGGTGCTTTTGCCTTATATCTTCAAGCTAAGGGAATGAATCGCAAAACAAATCACAAACCGATGGCTGTCATAAAGAAATTTCAAAATTTTGCAAAATATGCTTCAATCAGCAACAATCAAACTGCATCGATTATCGATACCCCGCTTCGCCAAGGTGCTGGTTTAGTGCAAGTAGGTGATGCTATTTTTGAAAATAGCCACGTAACACCTGGTAAACTAAGTTTTAATGACAGTGAACACATTCAACTACGCTACAAATTAACAGTTAAAAACGATTGGGAAACAACAATAACATACACATTTTCTAACATAGCTGCTGCTACAGTCAAACCGTATAACGTCACCTTGCAGCAATATATACCTCTTCAACCAATTCTCTATGATTCCTCCGGCTTAAAAGCAAAACTTACATTCTTTCCACAAAAATTGTCAATAAAAGCAAAAGGATATAGACATGTTTTGGTTAAGGTCAAACCTCCAGAGCTGAATCTAAAGGATCATCAAATCTATGGTGGCTATATCCAAATAACACCAGACAAGGGCAAAAGTTTGCATGTACCATATATCGGAGAAGTTGGGAATCGTCGAGAGTTACCCATTCTTAATCATTCATATTCGATTACATACAATACAAGTTATCCACTGTTAACTGATTTAGCTAATAATGTTATAGATCAGAAAGAACTATACATCTTTAATCGTTCAGATAGCACCACACAACCAACAATAAAAGTTCCACTTTTGACAGGAACAGCAGCATTAAATATTTATATACTAAACAAAAACAATAAAAATGTTGGTTTAATGTTAACACGCGCTTACTTGCCACGAGATTCATATTCTTTCACGTGGGATGGTAAAGTAACCCATTCGATTACTACTGTACCTGCAGCTGTTCAAAATGGTGTTTATAAAATGAAACTTAGTGTATTGAAAATATTTGGTAATCGAGGAAACAGAAGTGATTATGAAACATGGATATCACCAACAATTCAAGTTCTAAATTAGCGACAAATATAGTCGTTTCTGACGTGATTAATGCACAAGTCATGGTATTAAGGTTCAAAATTTAAGAGGTTAATCATGTGACAACGATGCCAGCTTTACTTTAAAGACTTATCTATTGGAGCTAATATAGTGATAGAACAAAGTTGACTTTCGTCAACGATTAGTTAGGATCAAAACTGAAAATGGAACTTTCTTCTGGGTATTACTCGCCTTATTTCCATTAAGATCGCGATTTTCAGTTTAGATGTGCCACAATAGACAGTTCAGTAACCTGTATCACCGAGATGTCGCTCTGTTCTCTATTCTCTTGATTGATGAACTGTTGTTAGTTCATCTGTTATCGGTATTTTCTTATGTTTTTTATCAACAGGCCTGTTATACGAGAAAGTTGGTCTAGGCTATCTTCGAAACTACCAGACCAAACCCAATGCAACTCAGTGCTTAGAGGCTTCATGAGGTTCTCTTTCTTTTCGTCTCTAGAAACTTTCTTGGAAACTATCGGAAGTAGGAGTTCCAGAAAACCGTGGTTTCTGAGCTATAGTAGTTGAATTAAAAGTGTTTCAAAAATCGCCGTTAGGATATGCAACATTTTAAATAACATATTCGGATTCAGAGTCGAACGGCGAACATTTTGAAACAAAATAAGGCTTCAACTCAAAATTTCAATTTTTCAATTTAACTTAAACAAAATTCAACTTTTATTAAAGTAAATGTAGCTCAGCTCGGCTAACAGATAGAGACTTGGTTAAAACGTGGTTGGATAGAGAATTAAAAACTAAACAAACGCAGTGGTTTGACAATGTCTCCGTATTATGTGATCTTGGTGGCAATGGATATTTTCTAAATTAGAGGGAAAAGTCAAAATTCAAAAAAGTCAGGAAGAGATAAATACTAGTCGATTCAGTTATTGATCCTAATTCC